GTTGATGACAGAGGTGGGAAGTGAGGGTTCAACAAGCTTTCAGATGGCCAAAAACAAGTGTGTGGTTGAAATCAATCGATGAGGAAAACAACTTTTAATCGGTCCTCAAATGTTGAGGCCAGGGAGATGTTGAACATCATCAGTGAGTCCCAGGAAAAATGGTGGAGAGCACTTTGGTTCGAATACTTGGCACCTCACTCAGTTGCGGCTGGCTGGACCAACCCAAACCTAACCTGGGAACATGGCCAGCTGCCAGCTCAAACTGTTCAACGAGGACAGATTGTTTCCTATTTCCTACTTTGACCCACTGATTGCAGTGCTCCTGAGGGCTTTTGGAACGTCATTGACTGGCTGTCCTTGTTTTGTGCTTTCGCAGTGCTTGGGACTTACATTCGCATGGAGTTGGAAGACACTTGGCTGAAAGCTTGACTGTGGAGATGTGTATGTCGGTCTCTTGCAAAGCGGAGCTCCCTTGACCACAACTGCCTGGAGGTAGGTACAGGGACCACCAATAAGCCGCTTTCCTCCGCTCGACTGAGGCCGGCACGGCGTCAGAGGTGATGAGTGCAGTGCCATTGCTGACCGCTGAGAATAGCACGACTCGATCTCAGCAGATGGAGAGCTCCTCCAAGGTCTTCCAGTCTGTGGAGCTCTGACCACAGAAGATTCGTGCACTGTTCCTGTTTTTGGAGGGCATGTTCCCAGTCCAAGGAATCCGAAGAGTCCAAGGTGAAAGGAACACAAAAAACGGTGCGAGCATTTCTGTTGAACCCTGTTGTGGCATCAGGAAAGCTTCGTCCATGCGGAGGCAGATTTTCGCTTGGCATTACTTTTCTTTCCTATGCTGGCTTGTTCCTCAGCCAGGGGTGCTGGTGAATGTTTGCAACATGATGCAGTAGGACCTTGGCCAGTCCTTCTCCATGCAGGTCATGTTGCGGCTTTTCAAGTCCTTCCATGCGCAGCCCCGTTTGGCTGCTTGGACTGTATGGCTTTGCAGATGTGAGATGGTGATACAGCTTGATGGCTCGTTTGGGAAGGGCAAGACACTCAATTATGTATTTCGACTTCGATAATCCACCCGTTGCACTTGGAAATTTTCTGTAGACTATATAGATGATATATATATATATATGTAGATGTCTTATTTTGTCCATGAGGCAGTTGTGACGAAGACGTTGATGGTAGCCGCACAAGATTTGCTGCACTTCTTCATCGTGCTCGTCTCTGTGTATGTTTGCCTGGCAGTTGCTGCGGTGCTTCTTTTTGGGGAGGACTTGGAAGAGTTTTCTACGCTTGATCGCCCCTCACCATTAACAGTCTTGGGGGTCCTTGCTTAACTTTGCCAGCTTTCAGTTGTTCCACTTCACGTATATAGCTCTGAAAGGCTCAGCCATAACTTGCTTCCGAGCACTTTTGGGAGAATATGATTGGGACTCTTGGCTCTAGTGGCTGACAATGGCTGCCAGATGAACAGTCTTGCACATGATCTCTTATCTCTTTGATGCTTGCTGCTGAGGATGCGATGTCATCTATCGGCAGAGTACTGGCTGGTACCTGGCTTTGGTTTTTCGTCACTTGGAAAAATCATGGCAATCTATGGATGCTCGTGCGTGTGATAAACTACACAGTAGATGGACAAGCTTTCACACCCTTAAGAATCAAGGTCTGCAAGTTTCCTACATCAGGCATTTTATGATATTGAGGTTTCTGAAGAGCCTCTCACGCAACCCCCCCTGCCAGTACCATCTTGGCTGCCCACTTTTCTTCTCTGATTTGTTTTCTGCTGAACTCTTGGCCTGCAGAAGTTTGTGTCTTGAGATGGCAGAGCTATCTTGCAGGGGATTGGTTGTTCGCGGACAAACGGTAGGAAGATCTTAAGCAGGGCCATTGCTGTCATTGCTTCTCTAGGTTGTGATCGCAGATTTGCTGCTCCTGAACATGGTGTTGGCCATCCTCATGGATGCTTATCAAGCTGCTTGCAAAAGTGATCAGTTGCTGAGATTCAGAAGCGGAAGCTGTGATTTTTCACTCTGTTTTGCTCACTGAGGTGGTGAAATCAAAGGCCAGCATTATGACAACGGTACCGCACCAGATTTCTGAGATCCTTCGCCGACGACGCCTTGAAAGGGAGAAGAAGTGCGTGCCTTTCTTGAATGAATGCCGGTGCTGCCCAAAGTATGTAGCATAGGCGAGCGTGTTTTGCTTAGTCAGGTTCGCTTGAGTGACGTTTGGTATGCATATGGTGAGAAGTTCAGAACCATGGACGAGATGCTTGAAAGCAAGGCTGGAGGGGATGAAGGGGTTGTTTCTTCTGAAGCTGAGGCTTGATGAGTTGCAGCTTCTTGTTACTTTTTATAAGCCCCAACCTAGTAGCAACGGCCTCCAACATAGCGATGGCCTCCAACTTAGAAGCAATGGATTCCAACCTAGAAGCAATGCCCTCCAACCCAATAGCAATGGCCTTCAACCTAATCGCAATGGCCTCCAACCTTATAGCGATGGCCCCCAAACCTAATAGCGATGGCCTCCAACCTACCAAGCAATGGCCTCCAACCTAATAGCGATGGCATCCAACCTAAAGTGTGACTCCTGGCCAGCAAATGGTGAAGCCAGAAGACCTTGCGAAGCATGTGCCGAGCCTGACGGTAGCTCAAGCGCGACGCCCCTCGGCTCAAGCTCATGGCATGAGTCACGTCGTTTCGCTCTGCACTAAGGTACCTTGAACCACGCAATCACACAGAACAGGGACGAAAAGGGCATCAAGTATGGTATGAATGACATGCGGAAGCAATTGAAGATTTGCAATGGCCGCGCTGGCTCCTCAGTTCTTCGCCTCGAAGCACCAGAAAGGACTTATTTGCAAATCGTTCAGCTTGTAGGCCAGGATCCTGCAGGAAGAAGAGCCTTGGCAGCAACAGAGTTGCTAGAGCACCAGAGGTCACTGGAGTCTTTGCTAAGGAGGTGAAGTGTAGCGCAGTGATTGGGGATGAAGCGAAGCCCTGTAACACAAGACGGTCCTGTTCTATTCTTTGTTGGAGGGTGAGGTTTTTTGTGTGCCTAGACATGTTTCATATGGCTCGGCAAGCCCCAAGTTCGCCCTCAGAAGGCTTGTCCTCCAGGTCTGCGGAAGCTGTTTTGTTAGGACCTGCATACACTGCTGCCTAGTGACAGGCAGATCTTGGTGAGTGCTGATCGGCCAGAACAGCTAGCTTGGTCATGGGAACTGAGCGAGGTCTTGGTCATCCGCCGTGCCTTGGAAGAAGCACGCGATGCATCTGGTGCACTTCCAAGCCCATCACATCTGGGTCTGGACCTCGTGCAAAAACCGTCACCTAATCAGTGACGAAATTCACTTTCTAAAAGGTTTTTTGAACTTCGACTGTTAAGGCCTCAAAGAGAGCACGGTTCGGATCATCGAGATTCTCAAGCAGAGTGTGTTTTGTCCGAATGGATGGTTGTCTGATAGCTGTGAAGTCACTCGTGTCATGGAGCTATGGACCTCACTCTGACCAAGGTTGGGGTGCTGCAGGACCAAATCGAGAAGGCAACATACAAGCTTGCAAACACATGGCATCCAGGGAAGCTTGTACCAAGGTCCTGGAGGAGGAGTTCCAGGTGGCTGGTCTACGTCAAGATCAAATGCAAGCAGATCAACGCTCCTCAGCACTCTTTGTCTGGTTGGTCAGTTCCAAACCATGCCAAATTTGGGTTTGGTTTGCAAACTATCGACACATAGTTGAAGCAGGAGTCTGGCAACCTGCTGTAGAGGTTTTTTGAACTTGCTAAGGGGAGATGCGAGTGTGGCTGAGCTGCATGAACATGAAAGGCAGGAAACATGGATGGAGAGCGGCGCCTGCAATGGCTGAGGTGTGCCCATGATGCCAAGGCCCTCGGACATGCTTTGACAGTTGTGGGAGTTGGGCTTGACTTGATGGCTAATCAACAGTCAGAACTCGTAGGTGAAAGAACGTCGAATCGCACACTAACAAGCAAACTTCTTAGCACAGAATGAGTTAAGCACATTCCTCGTGTATGCCAGGGGAAGCTTAAGACGATGCTGCATAGGCTAGAGGCTGGGTGCGCACCAGATTCCCCTTGCACAAAGAGGTAGGTCAGCCTTTGCTGAGTGTCTTTCTCCTTGATGGCAGGGCTTAAGTGCAACCCTCAATGAGCACGTGACGAAGGACACGTTGCGCGTTGAGTTAGCTTTTATCCCCTTACTGCAAGCAAAGAAGGGAAATAGTTGAGCCACAGTGCCACAGGATTAGTGGAACTTTTACTTTACCACACCTTGCACACCTTTGCTCGCTCACGTATTCAAGACATGACATGCTGAATGCACTGGCTGCAGGAGCAGCTTAACTCTGTCTTTGGCGCTCGTGGGGAAGATGGAGTAAGTTTGGTCTCTAGCCTTCAAAGCCGCTCGAGCTGCAAGTAGCTGAGTGCTGCGCGGCAGCACTGGTTCAAGTGGTATCACGAGTTACGTCTCTCAGCAGAAATCCTTTTTGTGCTGAGGATCTTTGGCAATCCTTTCTGAGCCCACTAGCTGCCAGATCGCCTCATAGAACTGCCCAGGATACCACAGTTCAGTGGCTTCCAACTAACTTTGAATGATTCTCCTGCATTGAGTCTGCAGGGTTGAGTTCAAAACCAGAGAATTGAAGGGGCTGGCTGTTATTGTTCGCAAGCCATCGGCATACTGTACTTCATTACTGCAGACTCTATTGTACACAGGGAGCATGGCCCAAAGTGGCCCTGCAGCCGTCTCAAGGAGCAACAAGCTCTGGGGTCGGCCAGGGAGCAACGAGTTCTGGCTGAATCCAAGGGAAAGCAGAGATGCATTGTTGTCAAGCAAGGCCCCTTTCTCAAGACTCCAAGTCCAAGTGTAGAAAAAACTAATGCCCCATGGCCAAAACAGGGCCCCACTATATAGCCAGCTCCTTCCTTTCCTTTTGTGAAGTTGTCTAGACAGAGGTCTCTCAGCCCATGTCTGTACGCAGGCTTCAGCACATCTACGCGTGGCAGCTTCAAGGACTGGGCCATGAATCCACAGATTTGACTCAATGGAATTCAGTCCCGTTACTATTGACTATACTTCACAATGGGGCAAGTTCTTTGAGAGTTCAGTCAGCTTTCTTGGAGTACCTGCCCATTCATGTGTGTGACCAGGGGTCTGACATATCGGCAGAACCCTCCTTCTGGCCAGATCCTCAGAGCTGATGGTGTCCCGCTCCCACCACAAGACTCTGGGCTTGGCAGGGCCCATGTCCCGTTCCTTCATCGCTGCTATTCATCCTTGACTCGAAGGTGCAACGGGACGTGTCAGGTTTTCTTTGCATTGAAGTCTATTTATACAAATTATCCAATACTATATATCTATTTTCTCACGATTGACAAGCACGAGCGAGATGTGAGTTCGAGATTTTCATTGTCAGTTTGAAGGTTTAGTTTTGGGTCTTGGGCAGGTAGTCGGTATAGGAGCATGCCGCCAACAGTGCATCCTCACCACACTGCTCACCAGTCGGAGTGATTTCGGCTCAGCTCAGTCAAGAGGGCTGGGCTGGACTGTAGGGGTTGTGCAAGCCATTGGCGTGACTTCTTTTAGCGTTGCTGGCTCGCATTGTGAGTGTGAGTTGCTTGGTCTATTTCCCAGTCATACACAGCCAATCAATGGCATTTACTAAGAGCGCTAAGAGTTGGAAGTTGGAAGTGTGCTGGCTGCCCTCTTTGGACTTGCATGTCTTTGCAATTGCTAAGATTTGAACGTTGTGGAAGAATGCTGCCCTCTTTGGATTTGCGTGTCTTACTGTCGCTCATAGATGAAGTTGGGACTCAGGTGCCAGCCTGCTTGCACAGACCCCAGGACAAGCTTTGCTCCTTGGACCTGTAAGCTGCATCTTGCATATATTTATACGTGTGCAGTTGTTGCAACTGTTACAACTGTGGCCTCGGCTTGTTGCCAAGGAACAGTAGCCATGGCTGGAGTGGGACAGACAACTTCCTCCACCTACTCGTTTAGCTCCTCGCCCAAAGCTGTGGGCACTCGCAAAAAGTATCGAGAGCCAGGAGATGTTGAACCAGGCTTGGACCGGCCGGGGACCACCCAGTTGCTGCTTAACGGGACCGCGTAGCACATGTCACCTATATATCTATATTTGCAGGGAAGTGGCTGGCTAGACTTGTCAATGTGCTTAGCAGTACGGCAGTAACGTCACTTTCCAACCACCCTGAAGGCCTGTATCGTAGTGCAGCTTGGCCGCAGCCGCGCATGTCGTGCCGGGGATCGGTGGCTGCTGAAACCGGCTCGAACTTCTGCCAAGGTGAAGGAGACATGCATCTCCTGGGACAAGCGAGTGCATAGAGGCAACACCTACAGCATGTACACCCAGAATGCCATCAAAGAGGCCCGACATTCAGGAGTGGAACTGGTGAAATAAAGAATTCAATAGGGCCCCCAGAACGCAGGCGATTGAGACTGCCCAGAAGCAGCAGGGCGCAACGAAGGCGGCGAGAAAGCGAAAGCCCAAGGAGTTCAGTGCACCTTCTGTTTGGGCACGTCAACTGTTGATGGGACCATCTCATACTTGGAGGTCAGCTTTAGGCGATAATGGTCGCATCATGTCGGCATCCAGTCACGACTGAAGGAGAAATCAATTTTCGACATGCCACTGCCAGAGCACGAGCGAGTCCCAGTGGATCTCACCCGCCATCTTGTGGCCAATGAGCAGCCACCCCAGGTGGCAACCTCGGCAGTTGATGTTTTTCCAATCAATGTTGTTCAGCATATTTCACCCTCGCTCATCTCCGCCGAGATGGAAGTGGTAGAATCTCAGACTGATGAGTTCCTGCCGGAGCCGCCGCCAGAGCCATACCAGCCGCAAAGGACTTTGTCTTCTGGTCCGGGACATTTGTCATCCTTGGACACAGAGATGTGACACATGCATAAACCTACACGCCTAGATTGATTAACTACTTGTGTGACGTTTTCCCACTAGACAGTTTGAGCACGTGAATGGACTTCACCGGCTTTCATTCAAAGTATATATATATATATATTTATTGGACTCGCGCAGGGACTAACTTGCAAGAAGTTGGTCTAATCTCTACTGGTCAGCAGGTGTCCGGACGTTGAAATCTAAGATCAGCATAGATCAGCTGGCCAGGGAAAGAGTAGGCTACGCGGCATGGTGTGTTAATGTCCAGGGAAGCGTCAAGAGACGAGGCCTTTTCTTGTTGCACTGGCTGCAGGACTGGGATCGATGCACATACGCAGGTGGAGGACGGCACGTGGCCAACCGCCGAACCGCTTCACGTTGTCCATAGCAAACTCTTGGCCCGTCAGGACGGTGAACTCTTCGACTTTGATCGAGAAGTTGAGCCGATCTTGGATGTACTTGTGCCTGGGCAGCACGGGGTCGCCCTGGTTTGGGGTTCATGACATTTCCGGATCAGGTGATGAAGACTCTGGAGCAATCCATCATGGAAGTAGAAGAAGAGCACGAGCTGGCCGCGATGAGCCAGTTCAAGCAAGCTTGGTATGAGAGGCTGGTATCCTCGCCGTGTTACGGTTTCGCCACTGGGTCATGGGGGAGCTTGGAGCTTGGACCATTTGAGGCAAAGAAAGAACTGTGCAGCTGAGCGGGAGCAAGTAGAGGAGGACAGCAGAGATGTGGCAAAGACATCCCAACACCAGACACTTGAGGATTCTATAGAGCTTTTGACTGCGGAGAGGGGGATCCATCAGGAAAGCTTTTGTTGCGCAGGAGTGGGTGCGGTGGCACGAAAAGCAGATGGTTTTGGCCAAGCAAAGGGCACAGAAAGAAGAAGATGCGCGAGTGCTGCTGAAGCGCCCTGGCCAAGTGAGATCGCATGAATGAAGACATTCTGCCGCATAAGGCTTCGTTAAAAACCCCCCCTCACAAGGGCCACAACACTATGACTATGACTCATGACCTAAGGATCCAAGCAGTCAATGCTGCGAAGGAGCACCTGGCAAACCTGGTGCCTAATGCGAAAAAAGATCTGAAAGAGCTGGCTTTCCCGGATGCCAACGGCTTGGAAATCCAAAGGCCGCACCGTTGGGCTTTGTTGTTGCGAATCATTTGTAGTTTTGACGCTTTTGAACTTATCGTATGCATTTGTTTCAACCTCCCCTGAGGCACTTCCTGCCAAATCTCTTTAAGAAAGTTCAGGAGGAAGTCTCATCTATGAAGCAGGCACAGCTCCAGGCCGAAGCTGTAGCTGAGCTCCTTGAGTGTAGCTGTAGCTTTTGTGATTACTTCTGGAGAAACGCACTGACCAAGCTGAAATGCCACAGCAAGCATCCAAAAGCAACTTCTGTTCCTCGTTCTTCCAACCGTTTCATGGAACCGTGACCCAGTGCACCAGTCAGTCTTTGGGCCGTCGCCAGATTGATGCTATCGCTGCAGAGGGCGTGGCCCAGCAGGCTGCCACCTGGGCGGAGAGTTTGCAGCGGCACAAGGCAAAGTCTGCTGAGCTGCAGAAGCTTCGCCTCGAGGAGATGCAGAAGCTTCTGCAGCAGAGAAGGGAACAGTGACATTGGGCAGTGGGAGGGACCGGAATTTTTCTTTGGTGCAAACATTCATCCATATTTGTCCCTTTTCTTGCTGTTCGGGTGTCTCTACTAGAAGACATGGCCTCCAACCTACTAGCTTCTTGCTACTAGTAAGTAGCTTCTTGCTCCTAGTAGCGATGCCCTTAATTCTAGTTGCGATGCCAGGAGCTACTAGTAACATCTAGTAAGTAGTAGCTTCTTGTTACTACTGATGTTTCAGCTCAGGATCCGCCGTGGTAAGATCCGAATCCTGATCGACGACGGCAGTGGAAACCAGGTGCCAGTTGGACCTATCCAACTCTCTTCAGCTGATAGCATCGAAGAGCTTCAGCAACGTGTGTCACTTGCCAATATATTCCTGAACCAACAATTAGTCGATCTGTGTGCATGGATATTGGCTTCTTCCGAAATTTGCGATGTACGTCGTTTGGAAATCCTACTGCAAGCTGAGGTATGCCTGGCTTCAAACCAATGAGCCCAAGATTGCTGCAGGATGGCCCTATGGAGTTGAGTGGCTTGGTGGTGCCCTATAAATCATGGCCGCCAATTGCTCATAGCAATGTTAATAACCAAAGGGCAAGCGTCCTAAGTTGTGCAAGTCGGGAACCCGCTCAGAAGGCAGCCATGTTCCGAAGGGGTGTTCCGACCGGGTCGCATGCAAGGCTCCGTCTGGGCGGTGTGGCGGTGCAGAAGACGCAGGAGCTCTTTGAAGCGAAGCCAGGGCAGATCTCCATGGGGCCGCAGGCAAGGAACCATGGTGCAAGTGGGCGCTTGTGAGTCCTACTATTGTTTCATGTTTGGTGCTACTTTTTCCCACACCAGCCTTGCTAGTGCAAATTCATGCAAACGTCATATGGTCAGAAGTCCCAACTCATCCTCCTTTGCTTCGCAGCGCAGCAGTCTGATCCAGGAGCCACCGCCGCCACCAGAACCAGAGGGGCAAGAGGAGGAGGTGGACCCGGAGGTCTGGACATGGAACAGACGCCGTTTGCAATCCTCGCTGTGGGTATATCACAGTATATTACTGTTCTATGATACTATGTGCCACGTATTTACAACGCGTCGTAGTTGAAGTCGGCCCAAACCTTGATTTGAGAATTGGCTGCTGTCAAACAATCTGTTGTCGGCCACTATGCACAAAGGTCCCAATAAATGAAGGGCTGGCCCCGCTGGAAGCCAGGCAAGCTGAAGCTGAATTTGGGGTGTGGCTTCCAAAGGGAGTTCCACTTGACGTGGCCCGGCGCACAAAGAATGAGATCAAAGAGGCCTATTTTGTGGCCAAGCAAGGGTTGCAGGCACAATTCTTTTGGTCAAGCACTAAGGCCCCAGCATGTACATGAAGTGAGTGTGGCTGGCTTCACTTCTGCAGGTGGTTGGTCCATAACCATAGTACATAATACAGTAGTAAGAGCCTACAACCATACAGCTCTAGTAGCCCTACAAACTATATACAGCTTTGGTGAAACATCACAAAAGTGGTGGAAGTCCAGTGGAAGTGATGTCCGCTTTGTAGTCTCACCCTGACCTCTTTGACCTTGGTCGCTGTGAAAATGTTTCTCGCATGACTTCTGGCACTGATGGATCACCATGGAGGTGGTTGTTCTGTGCCAACATCATCAGGAAATGGCCCCAGTTCGCTCTTGTTGATGATTCCGCCCATTCTTTGCATACGCTGCTTCTTGAGCTTCCAACCTTGTGAATTGCATCAATCTTCCTGGCAGGTGCTCTAGAAGGAGGCGCGTCAGCAACGCCAGAGCAGTGGATGGGCGAGCTAGCATGTTATTCTTCCACAGTCCTATTTTGACTCCTAATTGTGGATTTCCACGCTGGAATCACAAGACGGTGGAAATCACAAGAAGGCACTCTCAGCCTTGGAGCTCCAGCATGGGTAGCTGCACTTGTGGGCTGAGATGCCTCCTACAGGCCAGATCCACCTGCCCATGGCCAATGGAGTGAAGATGCTTGGGCTTTTGATCCGGAGCGATCTGTGGCCTGCAGCTGAAGATGACAAGTCATCGGGGTCGAGCACGGGCAACGAAAGACACACAGCACGGTCATCCTAGATTCCTAGCCCTGCCAGCTATCCTGCACTGTTCGGCCGCAAGGACCCTCGAGGGACATGGTTGCGGGCTTTTGCTGGGCTATCCCTGGCCCCGTGCGGCTCCAAGACAGTAAGAGGAGTGGAATGCCTCCTAGTAACACCAAATAAGCCCAATGGGTCAGAGTGTACCTCACTTCGGTTGGAGTGGTTCCAGACCTTTGTTCAATGAGCAACTCTCGGATTCCGAAGAGTTCAGTGTAAGGGAATGCTTTGGGATGCTTTCACAGATGTTTGCACGCCTTCATTCTCGCTTCCTTGGGGCGATTGATGGTTGATGGAGACTCGTGGCCCTCTTTAGGGCCTCACAAGGGAGGATCATCCAAAGTTGACTACTACCGAGAGTTGCTGCTGCCTTTGGGCTCGAAGTCCCCTGTCAGAGCTGCGCATGGGAATGCATCACAAATCGAAGACATGCAGGAGAAAGCAACCAATGTTCGATTAAGGTTCAGATGCTTTACCAGGGTTGGGACACTCTGAGCCAGCCCAGAAGCTTTCTCCACTGCTCTGGTGCAAGATCTTCAGATGAAATGCTGTTACTTGACTGCATGGTGTTGATGATGTTGTTCGAGTGTGTGCAGGTATAGACTTGCCGCTTTTGGCACGGGAAGTCAGTGAATTTATTTGCCATTTCATGTTGGAGCAACAAGTGGATCTTCCATGGCTCAGGTGGCTGCGGGGGAGGTCAGTCATGGGAGCAAATGCTGGTGGTGATGAGTGGCCGGGCTGGAGTTAGGAGGGCAGTGAGACTGTGGGAGCCGGTGATTCCTTCCCTATATTTCTCTCTATTGATGCCACATGCATCCACATGCTACATCTACAATCAGCGGAGTGGCGGTATATACGTTTGACAATCTGTTAGGTTTACTATGGTGGGGAGGGGTTTAGTCACCAGTGAAGCATGGGGCCCAGGACATTCAGAGCGCCTGGATTTTGCAGATGAAGATGCTTGGTTTCAGCAGCTCGACAACTAAAGCCAGGTAAACGGAGAACACATTCTTGGTTTGGTTCTTTTGCTTCTGAGTGCATTTGGTGATAAGTTCTTTGACCTCCGGACCGAGGCATCCGGATTCGAGGTCGTTTCCGACCGATTCCCCGCTCACAGAGCGAGGCCAGATCCGATTTCTGGGTTGCTTGACGCTGGTGTTTTGGGGGTTGCCAGGCAAGAGCCTGGCGAAAGTGCAGGGTCGGATGCTTGCGGAAATGTGTGAGAATACGGGCACACCGCAGCTTGTCAGATCTTTTGAGTTGTGCGATGCTTGTGGGTTGTTTGATGGGATCATTCTTCAACGCTTGGGTAATCAGCAATAGATGGGTATGAGATGCAAGCCTGAGATGCAAGGATTGATGTGATCATCACCTCTCCCTTTGTACGCTGCGTGCAAACGGCGATTGCGGTGAGAGAGGTCTTGCCGAATAGGAGAGGTGACAAGGCGTGTTGAGAAGAAGGGCACAGCGGGTGGGATATGTAACACCAGCATCGTAACAGTTACAGTAAGGGCACACATTTCGGAGTTGTGTAGTCGAGTAAAGGGCGGTAATAAATTTTTGTAGGGCAAACTGGGCTTATTCAGTCTGAATCATGACCCAGTCGTAGGCTTTTTTCAATCCAATATTGGCAGTGTTTTGTTGTCGTCGTATGTGTTTGCCGTATGCTGCTTGGCCTGTTCATGAGGCATCATTCTCAGGTTATGGTTGAGGCACTGTTTTGGCGGCAAACGGGCTCAAGTGACTGAAGGCTTCGCCTGTTCTTTTACAAAGTCTTCCACTTCAATGTGCCCAGTGTTTGTCCTCTTTGAGATCTCTTTGACCCAGAAGAGGCTTCGTCCATTCTCGGTTTTGTCTCAGGTGCCGCTGCTGATTGATGTGGAAGTCTCGGAGGCGGCTTTTGTAAAAAGATCAGAGCGTTTTGGTTTGGACAGGGGGGGTGGCCGCGTAGCCTTGGCCCAGACTGCAGGTCGGGATCTACAAGAAACCTTCAGGTATCTCAGATCCCGCGTGGCTTAGCTGAACGTAACGGTCAGATGATTGATGATGTTTGGAGGGGAGAGCCAACCGATACATAGTACTTGAAATGATTCAGGAGATGCATTGTGTTCATTATTGTTCTGTTGTGGCTGGGATTGATTTTGTCAGCTAAATGCAAAACGTCGAGCAATATCACAAGGCCTGTAAACTTGACAACGCAGACCTCGTATTGTTGCCAAGAAGCCATTTCAATGTGACAGACCGTTCCAATCCTGCTCGTCATGGATTTGGTCCTTTTGCAGTGCGCCTGCAAGCCCACAGAAATGCAACGTCACAGACACATCAGTGACACTGAAGAGCAAGGACAGTAGCAACTTCCGCCTGACAAACTGCACCATACTCGCACACACACTCACTGCTCTGCCCAGGCTGCTTCGTTCCCACTTGGAGTTTTGCAGTCGGCGTCGGACCTTCGCACAAGTGGCCGCCATTCCAGACCTCACAGGCGCACGGAGGTCGACACGGAAAGATGTGCAGCGGCCGGGACGCTTTTGGCATGGCGGTGGCACAGTGAGGGTGCCTGGGGGTCAAACTAGGACGTGTGCTTGTGGGCGGAAGCATTTTTGGATGGAGATTGGGCTCATGTGTCAGGAGTGGAGCTGCTTAATGCTGACGCCTTTGTGTAGGTCTCAGTGCGATGAGTTATATAGCTGGCCATTGCACTCATCGTGCAGCGTTCTCCCCTAGGAAGTGCTTGGCAGCCAATGAACTAACATGGTGCTAAGGTGGGCATTCCGCCACCCTTCCCGGAAAAGCGCCGGGCTGCACATGTGAGGGGCCTCTACCGCTTTAGCGTGACTTGGAAGCGAGGGGCTTTGGAGATGTCAGGAGTCCAGGGGCTGAAGGAAGGAATGGAGCTTGGTAGTGTTCGAGGATAGCTTCTTCCAGAAGCTACTAGGAGCAAAGGGCATCGCTACTAGGAGCAAGGACGCTACTAGGGGCTCTGGCATCGTTACTGGGAGCAGGAGGTAGTATAGTGTTTGTAACATAGCAATACAATACATATATAACACATGTTACTGTACGTGCAACCCTCTCCAGAGACAAGTGCCAGGAATGGATGGAGCGCGGTCGTCAAGCGCAGCTCAATTTCCTCATCGTAACGCACCAGGAGAACTTTCATTTTGTCAGAAACTAGTAACAAGTGCCACGCTAGTAGTAACAGGTGCCTTACTGGTAGTAACAAGAAGCCATTAGTAACAA